CTAACTCAAGATCATGAGTAGAGTAATTCTCTTCATGTGGTCTCAACTGTCTAGAAGCATAGGCCACTACCTTTCGCTCCTGCATCAACACGCACCCTAATCCATACTTGGATGCATCACAATAGATCTCAAATCTCTTCTCTAGATCAGGAAGAATCAGAACTGGTGCGGTAGTCAACTTATCTTTCAATTCTTGAAAGCTCACATCACACCCAAGGGTCCATGCAAATGGCACCCCTCTTCGGGTCAACCTAGTCAATGGCAAGGCGATTCTGGAGAATCCATTAATAAACCTCCTGTAGTATCCAGCTAAACCCAGAAAACTCCGGATCTCAGTAACACTCTTGGGTCTCTCCCAATCCAACACAACTTCAATTTTACTCGGATCAACAACCACTCCTGTAGATGAGATGACGTGTCCAAGAAATTGGATCTCATGTAACCAAAACTCACACTTGGATGGTTTGGCATATAACTGATGCTCCCTTAAAATCTGTAAAACTATCTTCAAATGCTCTGCATGTTCTTCCTTACTTTTAGAGTAGATCAGAATACCATCAATGAATACCACAACAAACTGATCTAAATGTGGTTTGAAAATCCGGTTCATATAACTCATGAACACGGCCAGGGCATTAGTAAGCCCAAATGGGATCACTAGATACTCATAGTGCCCATATCTGGATTGGAAAGCCGTCTTCAGGATATCCTCTACTTTTACCCGGATCTGGTGATATCCGGAATGAAGATCAATCTTCGAGAACACTGAAGCACCCCTGAGCTGATCCAACAGATCATCAATGCGTGGGAGAGGATACTTGTTCTTTACTGTCACCTTGTTTAACTGTCGATAATCAGTGCACAACCTCATAGTCCCATCCTTCTTCTTCACGAAGATGACTGGTGCACCCCAAGGAGATAAACTCGGTCTGATAAAGTTCTTGCGGGATAATTTTTCTAACTGTTTCTTCAGCTCAGCTAACTCTACTGGTGACATCCAGTATGGAGCCAATGAGATAGGCCCCACACCAGGTACTAAGTCAATTGAGAATTAAATCTCCCTTTCAGGTTGAAAATGAGGAATTTCTTCCGAAAATACATCTTCAAACTCGCATACAACCGGAATATTAGCTGTAGGTTCTTTGGAGTCTCCTACGAGTCCTCCCAGGATAATGTATCCTGCATCTCCCTCACTTAGAGCCTTATTTAATTTCTGTGCCGTCAAGTACAAACTGTCTGGCTTTTCTCCTTTTGCAGCAAAGAAAACCGTTCTGCTACAACAATCTAGCATCACACCATATCGGACCAGCCAATCCATACCCAACATAATGTGTAGATTCATGCCCTCAAGCACTATCAAATCCACCATATACTCTTCTTGTTCATATATGAATCTAACTTCTTTGCACTTCAAAGAAGTAGAAACAATGTCTCCGGTGGCAGTCTTCACTACCATGGGAGGCGTGAACTCATAAATGGGTAGATGTACCCCATTAACAACAAATTTTGATATGAAGGAGTGGGTAGCTCCAGAATCAAACATGGCATCAAAAGCATATCCTCTGATAAGAATAGTACCTCTGATAAGGTTTGGAGACCTCTCTGCCTCCTGCTGTGTCACTGCATATACCCTGGAACTAGTGGACGCCATAGGCTCCTCTATGGCTCTCTGAGTAGGTACGGATTGAATAGGGATCGCCTGCATAGCTGCAACTTGCCTCGTCTTCTTGGGGAACTCTCTGGAATAGTGTCCTGCCTGACCACAACTGAAGCAAACATTCTGCCCCAGTCGACAAACACCTGTATGCATCTTCCCACACTTGGCACAAGTGGGAATCTTCCCTGCACCAGACATTTCGCTTCCATTCTTCACAAAGGGAGTCTTCTTAAACTTGGTATTCTGCTGTGCTTGCAAACCTTTGCTCTTACCCTTCCAGGGCGTAGTCCTCCCACTGAAGCTCTTTCCTGCTGCTTCCTTTCCTCTGGTATGATAGTGCTCCTGAATATTCTGGCACTGCTTGATCAACTCCACAAAATCTCTGGTGCAATGACCAGCCAGTTTGTCTGCTATCATATCATTCAGACCCTTCCTGAATCGAAAGGCCTTGTCTTCTGGAGTGAGGGGAGCTATACCATAACAAGAATATTTTGCCAAGCGGTTGAACTTGCTCAGATATTCATCCACAGTCATGCCTCCCTTTCGGAGGTCTTCAAACTCACTCTTCTTCCTTTCCTTGGCTTCTTCAGGGAAGTACTTATGCAGAAAATACCTCTCAAATAATGGCCAAGTAATAGCATAACCTTGGCACTCAAGTGGGTTTCTAACATTACTCCACCAGTCAGCAGCATCCCCCTGTAACATGTACACCGCATTAGGAGCTTCGTGTTGGCATCACATTCCATAACCTGAAAAATGCGCTCCATCTCTTGGAGCCACTCCAATGCTGCGATGAGATCTCTTCCACCTTTGTAGTGAGGTGGGGAATGCTTCCTGAAAGCATTCAGCATACACTCTCTAGTATCCTGGTCAAACCTGGGTGGTATAGCTGATCTATCAACCTCAATAACTGGCTGTCTCACTAGTCCCTCATGGACAGATGCCTCCGCCTCCTGATGGGCCTCTCCTGACCTTTCCTGTCCCAGCACAACAGGCTCAAGAATCTGTACGAGACCAGCAGTACGTGCAACCTGCTGCTGCACATGTGGTGTAATTGGCGGTGGAGGAGGTGGTGAAGGTGGTGGAGGTCTTCCTCGTACCTTTGTAAACAGTAGTCGGATCATCTCAGCATTGGCCAACCTATTCTGCGCTATAAGGTCTTCACTAGCCTTTCTCAGCTTCTCTCTATCACGCTCTCTGGCCTCTTCGATTCTTTTCAAATCAGCTTCCCTGGTTTCATTCAGGGTCTGCTGCAATGTTGCTATAGCTGCAACAATAGGATCAGGAGGAGGGTTTTGAACTATTTGCCTGGGTCTCCCCCGAGGTGCCATGTCACTACATAAAACTGCATGAGGTATGAGTTAGCAACGCTCAATCAAGTGATAGCATATGCAATATCGTGACACTCAAGAGACACTCAATAAACAGTTCTAACACTTAAGCAATACATCAGTGAACGTCCCGGTGAAACTGCTCAGATACCATAAATGTAACACCCTCTACTACTCCGGTTGTTAACATACATGATATTTAACAATCACAGCGGAAGACTTTATTTGAAAAGGAATAAAAAATCTTATAAAAAAACGAGTAAATTTTTTCCAAAACATTTTACAAAAATATTTCTAAAAACGTTCACGTGAGATACTGCGAAAGCGTAAATCTAAACATACATCTAGTAATTAATCCCATGAGCCAGTATTAGTGGCCATTGACCATCAAGATATGACATCAAGTGTCATTCCTGACAGAGTCTCACGGACAGCATAACAGCTGTATTTTGGATAATTGGGAACCTGGTCCCACACATACAGTTAACCTGATAAATATAATAATTTAAATAGACAGCTTGCAAGTCCCACACAGACTGCAATCCCCTCAATGGGTCAATACAAAGAAGAAGGCTCCATGCCCAAATTAACTGAATGCATGCATCAAGTCTATATTAATTCAAATTATAAAAACATCAGTAATTAATCCATAGCTCTAAGGATACAATCATGAGCCTAAATAAACACATACAATAATCTCCATAAAATAATTTAGCATGTTAACAAGTCTACATGCTAACATCAAATCTAAACATAATAGCTAAATCATCAACTGCATCATCATCTACTCCAATGCGGGGGCCTTGCCCCTAGAAGCATCACCACTACTCTGTGTACCTGAAATGATGTCCCCAAACGGGGTGAGATAACAACATCTCAGTAAGCTCAAGGTTCATAGAGGATCCTCTAATCCCCTGAGCCCACTTCTTGCATGACAAGTCAGATATAAAGCATATAATACAAACATACAACAAAAACATAACATCATCATATCATCCTTGTGTAACCCCAGGGTCAAAGCCATAGACGGTTACATATGTGTGACTTCCAGGGTCAAGCTATAGACAATCAACACAACCTCAGTATGAAATAGCTCCCAGAGTCAAGTTATAGGCAGCCTACATACCATGATCACTGGCCAGGATCCTCATAACATATATCATCAGTGCATCATCATAACATCAAGATCATATAACAACTATATGAATGTGAATGAATGCACATATACATCATACCATATACTTTCATACAATATAACAATAATGCCCACCACCATGGTGGGGCCACAAGAGAGGAGTAAACTAGAACTAAGAGCTTACCTCTGGGAGCTTAGCACAAGCCCACACTCCAATAGTATACGTATGCTCCAGCAAAATCCTCAAGTGTACGATTCTCTAGGCACACCTCTCTAAGATGGCTCCTTTAGATCAAGATCCAACATTTACTTACCAAGAATGCTTTGTTTTTTTTTACCAAGAACCTACAGTAGACTCAAGAAAACAAGCACCAAGGAATGTTCTTCCAAGAGAACTCAAAACAACATCTCCATGGCATGAAGAAGCTCCAAAATTGCTGCTGTATGGGAAGGTTTCCACCATGAAAATTTGGCTTTTCAAAATAAAAATAGGATATTATTGAAGAGGATGATCAGGGGAACAACTTTGGTGAAGAGTGTTTTGGATTTTAATGAAGTTTAGGTGGTGGGATCTTAGAGAGAAGGTGGAGAAAATTTGAAAACCTCCAAGGTAGAGAGAGAGTGAAGTGGGCTGCTGATGGGAAGGGAAGGGGTTTTCGCCATGTCATTAAGTGACTTTCTGTCATTTAATGACACCCGGTGTAATTTTTCTCTGAACGATTATCAAATTTCTACCCTGAAACACCCAAGACTCTAACTTTAACGTTTTTGGTCTAATTATGACTTGTTAGGCATATATTGGTCTTCATTTCCATTTTCTCATTTTTTTCCCCTTTTCGAGATTCTACCGGCTGCTGCTACAGCAGTACAAAATATCCGGCAAAAGTGACTTTTGAAAAATACCCCAATATGGGTATCAATCTTCATCAAATTATATCCTAACCTCATTCATGATGTTTATATCATTAGATTAGCTCTCTAACTATAATTTTCTAATTTGGAGCTATTCTACTGACTGTTATTACGTCAGCAGTCAAAATTAACAGATGAAAATTCATCTGTGTATAATACCCTCAATATGGGTATCAAAATTCTTAGAATTTCATTCTCATTCTATTTATGACCATAAGGTCCTCATCATTACCCTCAAATTTAAGATCGCAAAATTAGGGTCATTATATCGTGCATCTTGAAGTCAGCACCATAGGAGCTGAAGTGAGAGCTCTAAGAGCACCTCCTTGTTCTGTTTTAAGCATGGGGTATGTTCTTGAACCTTTGGTCATGAGTTTTATTGGTTAAAAGTGGAGTCTTGGCATGTTTAATGAGTAGTTTAAGTAACTAACATAATCACTGACCTAAAGGGGTTTAAAGATGCATGCTTTAAAGTTCTAATGTGTTAAAAATGGAACCTTGGGAGTGATATCTCACGAAATGCAGAAACTGCATTCTGTCGCGAAATATCCGTATATGATATCCGGATATGGATATGCGGATAT